GGGAGGATGTCCCAAGGTGCTTGTAAGCAATGAAGCAGTTTAAATACTGTGTGACATGGAACAAACCAGTTAATATAGATCTATACAATAATTTACACTAACAAACCCGTATTTTTTTTGAATGAGAGACTTTTGGAGCTTTTATGGCAGACATTTAACCAGTGATTTTATATCTCTGTGCCACTGCCATTACTATAGTATTGTTAAGAGTTCATATATGTTGCTTCATCACATAAGAGAATGAGAAGGTATTTTAAACATATTACACTTTAGGCCAGAGTTATCACAGTACCATAAAGCTGACATCAGGAAAATAAACTGTCTTAATCAGTGAAAACTATTTTTAATGCAACTGAAATACGGATTTAAAAAGCAAAGAATACTACACTGAATGAAAAATGGATGGGTTACATAAAAATCTAAAAAAAATTACTGCAATGTTATGGCACCCTACAGATATTAAGCTATTCATGGTAGGGACCTCATTGTACTAAGTTCTAAAGCTGTAACTTTCGTTTAGCCTGAAAGTGGCACATAAAGGTTGTAACCGCTTAGTTCTCTAACCCAAGAGATTAAAAGTATATTGGTTCTTTATAATGAATTAAACATTTATCCAGTAATTTTTCTTCCAATACTTTTCAATGCATATGCTCACAGCTACTGTATCCGTCAATTGTTAATTTACACTAGGGTCCAATTTGAAGTATTTAACAGATTTTTTTTAACGACGTTTAATTATTGAATTTTTGAAACTGAATATGCTGAAGATACATTTTATGATTTAGAAATTCCTAATGCATCTGCAGCACATCCAATGTTTTAGAAATTTGATAACACATTCCTTATTAAGAAAGAAATTAGACCACAACTGTTGCTTATTTTTGCAAAGGCGATCTTTGCTCATGTACAATGTAAAAGATAAGTTCCGAGCCTGTGACTTAGCACACCGCTCTGCTCAAACATTACTAAATGCAATTTTCTAAATATTTTATATTCTGGTATTTTAGTTTTTTTAGAAAGGAAAATGTTTAAAATGAAGATTCGGATCATGTTGCTGAATGCTAAGAAACTTTGCTGACTTATTACTTGAGGGATTATCTGTGTAATGTAACTATTCACATCTGTAATGTACCTGAACCTCATTCTGCAGGGCTTATTTTTGGATCCTTGGTTTTGGTTACCATCAAGATTGCTGGACATCAATGTGATTGAAATGGGCCATCGGATTAAACATCCAAAAGAAAACTGCAGGAATATACTTGCACTAAAACTATGAAAATAAAGTAATTCTTTGGAGATAATACAAATAGCTATCTCGAATCCCATGGAATTCAATGAATTGATTCATAAGCTGCAGAGTTTTTCCTTCAGTATTATGATTACAAATATATTCCACAATGAAATGTGTTAATTAGATACCTGGCCTGTTTTAGCATAGAGGAATCTGGTATTTTGGAGAAAAATAACACTGATTTTATGAGAAACTTCTATAAATAAGATCACTGGATTTGAGCAGCTATTATTTAAAAAAGGACAAATCTCAAGTGATTCTAAACATCTCACTCTATGTCAGTCAACTTTTCCTCTATTAGGATCTGTTTCATGTGGTCTTGAAGCATTTTATTAATTGTGCAGAGGCTGATTGCTCACCTTCAGTCACAGTATCCATAATCTTTCAAATGCAGTTATCTCTAAATAACAAATATAAGGTCAGTCCATTAAGGCGACATTTACTGGAGACATTTACTGGAGACAGGAGATTTCTGGATGGCACCACATCATTTTCTCTGCCCTATAAGGCTGTACTCCATATACCCACCTTTGTTATTTTAGAAATATAAATAAAGCTAACACAACGAGCATAAATAACGCCACCACACAGGAATCTATTGATCTCTCCTTCTTAGTTACCAATAATTTTCCACTGCAATTTTGTTTGTTGTTCATTTTGGCTCGAGCACATATTAAACATATTATTATGCATCATACAAAAAAATTAAAAATATTAAAAATTAAAAAAACTCAATTATATGTTATTGCAATTATTAAAAGGTACATCCTGGTCTGATCAGGTTGCCAAATGTTGCTGGAAAAAGTACACTTGTGGGGCTGAATGATTATCTTACTGAGCAGGTCCCAGTATTCAGTACAGGTGCTAATTTCTGAGTTTTTCAGGAGACTTTGGGGCTGTTGGTCTTCTGCTCAATAGCCACAGCAAGTGAATCCTTTTTAATTGGTTGATTACACAATCAAGGACACTTGTATGTGTGTGAACTATTAGTGGGCTATTATTCCAACATATTTCTTTAGATCCAAGAATCACCCTTCACTCAAAATACTGAGTTGAGAAGAACTGAAAACTTGCTAAATAAATAACCAATATGATAGACTTAGTGATAAGTGCTGTGCAACCTGGAAGCAGAAAAACTATACATGCCATCATCTGCAGTTATCCTGATGCTATTAGGCAATCTAATATGCAAACTGCCTGGAGGATAGCATTCACTATCATCATATTGAACAGTTTCTTCAGATATATTGTGAATGTTCCCCTTTTTAGATACTTAAGCATAGGTGGAATAAAACAAGACCTACTGAAATTATTCATGCAGCTTAGTATTTAGAGGTAGTGGTTCTTATCCCTTGTACAGAAAGGTTTTTTTATATAGGAGTTTTTGGTCTTGAGGTGTTGTGCCCATTGTTTTTCTGTGGAGTGCTGCTTTGAACATGTGAACATTTTCTTATCTTGTTCCTCAAAGACTTTCACTACCAAAAGGTGACTTTGTCCTCTTAGACTGAATATTTGGGAGTATCTCTGAAACTTTTAGCTGGGATTGTTAGCCAAGTATCAGTTTGCCTTTGCAGATCAAATGTCCAATTTATGGGCAGCACAGGCTCTCTCATATTTTCCTTAGTAATGTTAATAATATTCACATGATGCAAAGTTATACAAGGCCACACGCATAACAGACAATCACAAGAAACGTCTTCCTGCAATTGACATGGATTATGAAGAAAGATTTGGCATAAATCATGTTCTCTGAATGAAACATTAAAATTCACTTTAGTTAAAAAATACTTGATGCTGCAGATGAAATCTGGCCCAGAACTGTCTGAAGCTTTTAATTTGAGGTGGTATTCTGAATCCAACCTGACGCAGACATCGGATGAATAAGAATTCAAAATCCCAACTATTTATAAGGTACGAGAAGAAGGGAGGTATTGTATAAATCCAATCAGAATTTTTAACAGGTGTCTTTAGTGGCAATTCTTAAGTTTTATTAATATTCTGATTTTAAGAATAAAATAATCCTGGCGTGTGGAGTCCTGTAGCTCAGTGGTTAGAGCACTTGCCTTGCAAGCAAGAGCCCTGGGTTCGGTTTCCAGTAGGGCAAATTGTTGGGCAAATTTCCTCACTCCACATGCCTGTTTACCTAGCAGTAAGTAGGTCGATTGGCGGATTACTTTTCCTGGATAATAATTCCTCCAAAAAAATGAAAATAATAAATTGGTCACTTCAATCCACAACTGTTTGTGGGATACTGCTGTGCGTAATTGGCTGCAATGTTTCGCCCACAAAAATATACAGTCAATTCACTCTACAGTATATTCTGTGGAGCGCTTTGAGACGTCTCGAAGGCATGATAATGTGCTATATCAAATGCAAGGATTATTATTCGAAACATCACCTTTTATATCTGGAGGATGTCTCAAAGTGGCTTCACAAGATTTAGTGTGAAGTTTAGTGACTGTTTTGTTGGTGAAAGTAGAGGCTAATATGGACACAGGAATATCCCACAAATAACCACAAAGTGAATGAACATTTTTTATCTGTCAGATGTTAGCCAGGTATGGGGAGAGTAAAGAAAGAAAAAAAAACTAGATTTTTCTCCTCAGAATTTATCTAAGTAAATAGGATATTTAATGGTTTACACAATATCAATTATCATGTCTTCTCTCTCTCTCCACCCCAACACAAGCCACTACTATTGAACAAAAAACCTAAACTAACCAATTAAATAATCCTGCACTTGACAATGGCGATAATCGATTTTGCTTGCTGAAAATGTGACATTATTATGTGCTTGATCACTCCTCAATTTTGTTAATATTTCCTGACTTATTCTAATCTCTAAAATGTATTATGTACAGTTATTTTGTAAACAGAAAACTCAGAGGAATGAGTAAATTTCGAACAGGAAAGAAGTCATTCAGTCTGCTCACAACAGACCATTCCACAGCCTATAAATGACAATCTCGTATCAACAACTTGCAACAACAACTTGCACTTATACAGCAACCACTAGTACATTATCCAGAGGGTGGCCACAACCAATAACTCGTAGAATCAAGTACATAAGTTAGTTGAGTCTGCCTCATAGGTACAGCTCCTAACTACCACTATACAGTATGTCCAGACATGTTTCCTTCAAATGAATAGAACTATATTTCAGTAACTGACAAAGTACGGTGAGGGTTTGACTCTCTACTTCTCTACTTCTCTGGCACCAATAACCATTTTAAAGTTATGACCCAGTTTGAAATCTGGCCTACAATTGGTAAAGGAATGAGTCTGCCAATGGCAGATGGTAGACCTGTTATTTCACGCCTTGAATTTAATCTACAAGATACATGTTGTTGTATTTAGTCATGTTTGCTAACAAGTTGACAACACATTTTCAGCAAACAATTCCTACCAATCAATGCATTATAATGGACAATGATTTTTTTTCTGCAGTTGAAGATTTTCTGCTTATGTTAAATTAATACTGTAATTGTTTCTTACATCACAAATACAAAGTGAATAAATGCAGGTTTTGTAATATTCATTTATAACAACTAGAAAGACAGCTGTATTTATATTGCACCCTAGCAAATATGTCAGACGTAAACACAAAAACATTACTTGATTACAGAAAGCACTGCTCATTCTGCACCTACTGCTAACAATGGAGAGGTGACCTACCTGTAAACCATTATGTGTGAAAACTGACACTTACTGGAGTTGAGCCATTATTTTCACGCAGGCATGCAGTCTGAAGTTCTGATTTGAGAGCTGCAATGTGTTTCTGATGTGAAGTGATTTCTGTTTCCAGAGCAGCAATTCTGGAGCTAGCCAGCTGGTAAATGTCCATGAAAGTCTGGGTTAAATTCTAACAAAAGGGGAGGAGGGGGGTTAAATAGTATAAAACTGTGAGTAACTGCTAACAACTTACATTTATATAGTGCCCTTTGTGTAAAACAACTTTTGTACAGATAAATATTTCACAAGCATTTGTACACCACATTTTATCTCCTTTCATGAAAAATGAAGAGTCTTAAATATAAATTACCACATTATGCAATTTAAAGATCACTTACTTAATACTCTTTACACTTAAAAGGCACTCCTAGCCAGCAAAACATTTTGTATATTATGTGGTGCATGCTTATAATAAACATTTCATAATGTACCATAAAGTGCATGAAATGTCAGAAGTCAACTTCCAGAAGTCTTTAAACAGTGTGAATGTTATAACCAATGAACAGATAATGAGGATCAAGTGCATTACATATCCAAAAAAATTTAATATGGTAACCTAATCCTGTCTGTGAACCACATCTCAAAGAATTACTTTTACAAGATCACTTATGAAATTCAGCTATTTATTGGCTTTCAAGTGACATACACCTCTCGGAGAATAGACTGATTGCATCAAATCAGAAACCAACAGGAAATAAAATTCTGTTTATGTGTATTATGGAGGACTGCTGTCCCAGCTGTGTAATATTGATCAGCCAAGATAATAAAGTTAACTGCAGATGCAAGTTGAAATGGTTCTGTTGTGCTGGTAACTTTATATCCAGTCAGATTACTATAACACAGTTGGGATTAATGGAGTTCTTCGTAACAGGTAAACTATATATTTTTAAGGAATTGTTTTCCCCATGGAGCTAATCTACTTGCCAAAGTGTTACCAGCAAAACGTACATTTTCTAGGACTTGCTTTGTATTTAAAAGATTTCTACATATCCCCTACTGTGCTAATTAGAGGTTGTTCCACGTTTGGTGCTTATCCAATTGAAATTGTCTACAATAGCATCACTGGAGGTACGATTAGATCAGATAGTAGCAAATGCATGTTGAGAATCCACATTATTCAAGATATTTTTAGTTTATGCAGTATGGACCCATTTCAAATATGCAATGCTCATTCAACGTTAAGAACACAAGCAGATATAATGATTACATCTGGGAATATGGAGATTCCTTATTTTCCACGTACTTGTGCCACAGCTCAACACTCATAAGTGTGATTATATTGTACAATATTACTAGACAATTTTATCAAGACTATAAGGAGGAAGAATGAGAACTTTTAAGTTCAATTTACAAAAAATTACACTAAAGCAAAAGAATTGAATAGGATTAAACAATGATATTCAGATTTAAAATAAATTAACATTTAATCACACTCAACTCCCTTTTGAAACAGCTCATTGAAAAGCATGCTGCAAAGCTGAATAATATGTCTTTTTTCAATACTTCCTTTCTCATCTCCAATTGATTACCAAGCTTTGACCACAGTATTCAATATATCAGAAAATCATGCAACTACCATGGTGTTCACTGCACTTCCTTTTTTTTTATTTTGGAGGCAGAAAGATTTTTACCTAATGCGCTATTAAATTAACTAAATACAACAGCAAAATAAGACCAACATTTAAAAAAAAGCAAAAACTGTACTCAATGATCTAAAACAATGGTGAAAAAACACTGGTTTATTTTCATGGTTTACCTTCTTTCTTTCACTAAATTAAACACTGTAATACATTTTGCTGAAACCCACCCCAAAATCCTCAGTTACACTGAATATTTTGGTTGTTATTCGGCAAGTAAAATACCTAAACCGCTCATGTTTCCAGTCCTACAGTAATTAACTGGGCTAATTCAATGGTCTGTACCTACAACGGGTTAAGATTTTAACCACCAACATTTTGGTTGTAAAAAAAAAGACAAAATGGAACAAAAGCACGCTCTCAGTTTGATAACTCTTTGATAGTTACGAATATAAATGTTTGTTCCCAAACCAAAAAAAACAAGTGGAAGAAGGATCTTTGATAAAAGTTTAAAAAGGCAGTATTTGAATGTACTTCTTTTTTTCCCAGTCTTCTGATTTAAGTGCACAAAGCAAGTCGTCTGTTCATCTCCTAGACTGTACTATTTTAAACAGTTTCAGATCACTATTTAACACACTTATGCCATTAACTGTCTCTTCACTAGGGTTACAGGATTATATTCAAGTTTTAAGCGTTTGCAAATGCTGAAGACATACACATCTTTAATCTAGATTTATCTATCAAAATGAACTGACTCAAACCAGAAAATGATTCAGTTTATTAACAAACATACTTCAGTCCCTGCTCTTGTGAAGTATGTTTTGGAAAACTGGTCTTTGCAATAGATTTGCTATAACTTCAGGAATGTTTTTATTTTGCAAACTGGAGCAATAGGACTGATACAGCTGTGAAACGTAAATTTCTTCATTTAATCTAGGATCCTGGAATTCCACAACATGTACAGGAACTCTGGATTACTTTTTATTAACTAATTTAAATACACAGCACACAATAAAGCAGTAACATGTTTATTGTTTTTTTCTCCAGATTTCCCTTCCCAGCCACCATATTATACGGTGGAATGGCATATACTACATGCAGGAGGCATATTTACATTAAGAGGCTTTTTTAAATTCAGAAATGTTATAGCCCAGTTTGATAACTGTGGTATTTTTCATATTCATGGGAGCATTTCCAGTAACTGCTTTTGCTTAAATTACCATGCAGAATAGGGCAAATCAGGGTCAGTTTATGTCAGCTGCTTCAATCTGGGGAACTTCATCAGTCTTTGTTTCAAGGCATTATGCAAAGAAAACTGACATTAAGGGAGCTTTAACTGACAGCAAATGAAATCAATCAGCGAATCACTAAGCCATAATAAACAATCAGCTCCTGAGTTCCCGATTAACTCTGTGCACTATGTCAGACCCGAACCTGGAATGCAGCCGTCTCCATCCCACCCTTCAGCCCCTCTGTGCTGAAGGTCTCCATGTGCAGTTTGGGTAGCTGCAGGGTGAAGTCATTCCTTGCTGCCACAGACCATGACAGTGAGATCTGATCTCTGACCTGAGGAAGAGAAAACAGCATCAATGGTAATTCCCCTTCAGACACATTAACTAGGATGAACTGGGTCCCCTTGAGCCCGCTGAGTGGACTTGCATTGATCGCTAGGCCTGAAATCCATGAATAAATTTAAGACTAATTGATTTTTTGTTGCAAATAAATCAGTAATTCAGAGCAGCCACTGAGAATTTTAAAAAGATGGCGTAGTATTATCTGATTGAAATTTTAAAAAGTTGCCAAGAGTCCTTTATCAAGTCACTAAAATACTTTCTTTGGGGCGGGGGTTTGAGCGGTTAAATTCTTATGACCAAGTCTACACCAACTCTTTCAAAGTACTGTGCTTAAGGAGTCTCTAGGCCATGTCTTTGCATTTAAAAACTCCACACAATAAAACGTTAAAGATAAATCCCAGTCATACACATGCAGGAACTGGTATTTGATCTTTAAGAATTTAACAGCCAAGCTCTAAGTATCACACTGCCACCCTGTGGAAAACGTTAGTCTTCCTCTTAACCATAGCTGGAGAGACATCTGCTATTTATTGTTTTACCAAGGTTACAGCAGCAATCAAAATGTTTTGTTATTTGTTTTTCAAAAAAAGGTATTATATACCTTGATGTGAATAGCAATTTACTTGTTTTTTTAAAAAAGAATATTCTCTTCCCACAAGTCAGTCGTAATTGGTCTGAAAATTATGCAAAGTGTTTTTATAAGGTACAATTCAAAGAGCATTTACAAAAATAGTGAACAATTCAATGTTTAAAGCTGAAAGGCTGACTGTTTATTTCTTGCCATTTTAGAAATTAAAGGAGTGAGTTTATGTTTGGTTCATGGGAATGGAATGTGGTCAAATACAGAAATAACAGCTGAATCTGGAAGACTGTCTGATCTTAAAGTGAATGAGTATAATGTCAACAAAACACAGAAGTAGGGATGATAAAGGATCTATGAAAATTTAGTAGGCTTCAGGTTAATTGTCAATGAATAAGTTGACAGGAATGAATGGAACGTTTTTTCAGAACTACTACATTTTGGGCATTTAGCTTTACCGCACATCAAATTCAATTCTGCTGTGTATTATTCAATAGGAATACACACTTTGTTCATCACTACTTACTTATGAAAAAGCTAAATGTTACATTTCCATAAACAAATCTGTACTTTTATCCTGCACTAAAAGCTTTACATACACTTAAAACTAATAACAGCTTTCAAAAGAATAACTACTGCACTTCATAGATATTTATAAGTGTTAATTCTACTGTTAAATGTTAGCAGGAAAAATGCAGATGTTTTAAAAGAAACTGCCCTAAATTGTACGAAAAATACATATTAGGGAAATTTTGCATAAATCCACAGAAAGTAAGTTGTTTTAAATAACTCTGGAGAGTAAACACCATTTTACTTCATAAACCTCAAAAGCACATAAAAGAATTGCCATTTGTAAACTGTAGTATGCAAAATGTACACATAAAATAAACATTCTGTGGTCTGCTAAATAATCTGCCTATATGTGACGTGAAAAGTGCTCTATCAAATCCAAGGATGAAGGGCAATTCTGCTAGACAAAAAAGCCAAATGCATATAAATGTCATAAGGTTGTTGCAAGGTTGCTTTAATATATTAAGAATTCTAGATGAATATAAACTAGGTTTACAAATAAACATCGTATAGGACATTTAGTGCCAGATTTTATTGCGTCTGTACCAATACAAATTGTATTAATGAAAAATTCTGTGTCAGAAATGTAATCTTGTACCATGTATCACAGTCTTCTTTGCAACAACAACTTGCATTTATATCACGCCCTTCACGTGCGGTAGCGTCCCGGAGCATTTTACTGCATAAAACCTTAGTTGGGGAGGGCAGGGAGAGCAGAGGTGGCATTAATGTGACATCATCTACTTTTAGTGGGCACACACTACTACCTACATCATATGCAGTGTGTACCTTATTTTTATTTCTGCCCTTTATTCCTTTCATCAAACACTTTTGTCCTAAAACCTTTGTACCTGAGACAGATTTGTATGTACCTCCAATTTGTGGAGTCCTGTAGCTCAGTGGTTAGAGCACTCGCTTTGCAAGCGAGAGACCTGAGGTCAATTCCAGGCAGAGGGCGAAACCTTGGGCAAGTTTCCTTACTCCACACAGAGCCTAATAATAATCCCTCCAAAACCAAAAACAATAATAAATTGGTCATTTTCAATCTACGACTGTTTGTGGGACATTGCTGTGCGCAATTGGCTGCCGCGTTCGCCCACAAATATACAGTCAATTCACTTTACAGTGCTTTGTAAAGCGCTTTGGGACGTCCTCCCGACATGAAAGGCGCTATATCAAATGCAAGGATTATTATTATTATACCACTAACCTTAGAGCAGCATTAAAGTGCTGCTTTGTTGCCAAACACTGAAAATGCATACAGACCATTGAGCTGATGGGTCAGTGACTTCCAACAGACATAATTGCCATTTCTCACATGTTGCGCTTTTCTAAGTCACCTCACTCAATTGTAATTCTTGCACATCGAGGTAAAAGCATTGCAAAAATATATTTAAATAAGGAAAATAAAACTTGGTCTCCAGCATGAAACTGCACATTGTGCTGCTGAAAGCATTACATGAAACTGCACACATCACTGCTGATACACTGACTAGTGCACTAAACAAAAATAAAATTCTGTCCCTGGTCACTTGTTTGTCCAGCAGCTGTTTTTGTGCACAACACAGTACAGTTTAAATTCAATCTATTACATCCTCACTATAATAAGTTCTATTCTAGATTATGCCAAAAATGTTTGAAAGAATTCCACTGTAAATATTTGCACTGCTGTAACAAATCAAAAAANTACAGATGAGCATGCTTTCACATTCTATGTGAAAAAATTGACTTTAAAAAAACAAAACAAAATATAAACTATTTTTTCATTTGCACTCAATTTTACATGGTGTAAAACCTGAATTTGGAATGTTTCAAAATAGATTCACACTATTTCCTTTCAAATAGTAATAACAGATAGTAGCTCAATAGCTTGCTGTATAACATACAACAGGCTATTTGTTCATAAAAAAACAAATATTCAGTATTCAAAGGCTTTTTCTCTGTTGTATCAATAATTGAAGATACTGAATAGTAAATTGTTGGACAAAATGTAAATTACACATAAGGTGAAAATTAATGAGTGCTAAAGTGAAAAGCAAGTTATATAGTTTTTCCTCTCAAGTATAATAGATATAAATATACTTATTTTCTAAATGGTGCAGGACAGTTCTTCGTTTTAAGATGCAGCATATTGTAGTAGAATGTCCCTTTTTCTGAAGGTTTTTAACCTCTTATAAGTGTATATATTACTTTCCTATTCTCCCCTTTACTTTTCCCTCCTGCAGCATCCATCCCACAGCTAAGACTGGGGCCCACTTCAAGGATACTGTCAAAAGTCAATTTTGCAAACTGCTGCAAGGCAATGAATTCTATTCATCTCTTCTCCCTCTCCCCGGCCGCCTCTACCATAGAGGCCAGCTAATGCGTGAAAGCAGCTGTCCTCCGTGGATCTTAGGCTTGGGGAGCATTTGGTTCCATGTAATCTCTATTGATATGTCTTTTCACTTTATTTAAAGATCTCTACAGCGACAGTTTGTGTGTCAGCCTTGCTTTCGCTTCTGGGTTCATCTCCCCCCCCCCAGTTGGGACTTTGAAGTCATATATTAGACTGACACTCCAATGCAAAACTGGGGGAGGGGGAGATGCTGCATTGCTGGAGATGCTGTCCTTTGGATGAGACATTAAACCAAGGTGCTGTGCAGGTGGACATAAAGATCCCATGGCATCTCCTGGTATCCTGGCCAATGATCCCCCAAAATAAAATTGTTGATCACTTCAGACCTGTTTGTGGGATACTGATGTGTTCAAATTGGACTACAAAGTACACAGCAACTACAATTTACACTATAAATAGTACTGTGAGACACTTTGGGTTATCTTCCCAACATGGATGGCGCTAAACCATTTGTAGTTATTATTATTAATAATGACAACAACAATGATGTTATTTATTATTGGCATGGTACAGAGGAGTGCTGTAGCATCTATTTTGGTACACAGCCCCTTAAATTTTAGTTAAAGCTGGAAATTTACATGTTGCCAGCAAACAAAATTAAAGTCTTTCAACAGTTAACTGGGACCATTGGCGAAAGATATGTTTTGGGAGGGAGGTGAAATGAGAAATTATGATTTAAGTAGCGCGGTAAATAAGGAACACCATTTTAAAACTTTTTTTTAAAAAGAAATATCAATTGTATAATAAGTAATTACTTTTCTGTGGAAAATTTAGAGGGAAAGTCAGTTTTTCCTTTCTCTTTTATTAAGCTTTCCTTTTATTTCAGTGCTTATACAGAAAGGAAAAACTCACGAGTGGGGATTTCACATTTCCCCTGTGCTATGTGCAAGAATCATCAATATCTTTGGCAAGCAAATATCTACAAGATAGGGATACTGTGATGCAATTTTTATTGAAGTACTGGGTCTTTGGAGAACTAATTGTTCATGCTCTGGGCTGGACTCAAGCCATACGGATGTACAAGAGCAAGTCCCCTAGGAGGCTAAAGGACCTGGTTGCATACAAATTTTTAGCTGGTAACAATTATCACAAAAATGAACATGTTCAGCAGGGGCCAACTCATCTCCAGCTCTGTAGTAAATGTATAATTAAATATTAAAATACTTCTGAAAAATCTTTCTTTAGCCTTTTTACAGAAATTCAGGCTGATAAAAGGAAAAACTCAAGTGAATTAGAGTGCTCAGATTTTATCAACATCAAACCACAAGTGATTTTTTTGCCGTCTACATCTCACAGCTACAGTCAATAGATCTAAATATTTTACTGCACCCTGGCCAATTTATTGTTTGATGTTTAAAAACTCACCAAAAATCAAAGAAAATTCATTAAATCAGAGCCCTCCAATGAGTTGCTATCATCTTTGAAAGTTGAGTTTAACTGCAATATT